TGTTACTGTGCACTATTTTATTTTATATTTGTATCATGTTCGAATAAAATTTCATTTCATTTCAAAAAAAAAAAAAACAACAAATATTGTTATTGTTCAAAAAGACATAAGATGTAATGCTCTTATTTTGTCAGCCCACTGTAGTTCTAAACTTCTGCACTGCCCTCTTCTGTACTTACTGAGTTCCACCATCTCTGTAGTTCTCTACATCTCTGCTCTCCTCAGTGTTCTATTGCGTTGGTAATTAATCCTCTCTGAAAACTGTAAGCAATGCATAGTATATGCAATGCTTTACATATACTATGCATTGAAATGCCTTGCAAAGCATTGTAATGCTCTCCTATGCATTCATATGGCAGGCCCCAATTACCTACTAAAATTATGAGGATGTGATATTTTAATTAAACAAGTCAGATTTTCTGTATTAACAGATGAATACTTTGTTGTATTTAACATTTTTTAATACTTTTAAGTAGATTTTAATTTGTCTGTAATAGTTTTGTCTCAATTTATCTGCACCTAGCATGTAAACTGATATTAACCGATTAGTTTTTTCTTCGAAATATCTGGAATACTGCCAAACTACATTTTCTCCTTTCTCTTCACACAGTTTCTTATTCTTAAGCATCTTTGAGGCACAAAACTTGAAACTGCTGCTGTGCAATGTACTCAACAGGTTGTTGCTAGGTAACCACAGACTGCCATAGTTAGTTTATCCCACCAATTTTTCTGAGAGGTTGAGCGACTAAAGCATCTCCTCTGCCTACATCCCCCAGAATGCTGTGCGGTCTGGATCGGAGTTCACTGAAATGGTTGAAAATTTTATTTTAAATGGATTATTAGACAATTGTTTGTTCAATGTCCAAATTAAAGGCTTTTTTCAAATATTTTCAATGCTGCTTCAACAAAATTTATTTTAATTGAAGTTTTTTTTTTTCAGACATCTTCACCACATGTGCCAATTAGAAAGATGTACTTTTGACAGTCTTACCGGACCATTGGGAGCTTCGTGAAGGGAACCGGAGGGAGCTTGAGTCCATCAGAGAGAGTGATGACCTCCATCCCACCTGGACACTTGGAGGTGTAGTTCTCCAGACTCTGGGTCACCTCTTTCTTTTCTGTAAAGCACAAACGGCACGAAAATCAGCAAAGCTGGCCAGAACCCTGACCCATCTGGCACAACGATTACAACACAAATGTCTTTAAAAGTGACCCGGGAAACCAGAGAGGACTCCGCTTCTTTGGCTGTAAAAACGAATGGGAGCTTGATGATGGGTAAGGCATTCGACTCTCAGCAAAGAGAGCTCCGGCCTCGGAGGGAAACTCCGGTTTTTATCGTATCATCAATACCTTTTGAGAGAACATTACTGCTCAACCAGCCATATAATTTGCTTTAGCTGTGCAGGGTTTAACCATGTCCATCAATGAAAAGGTCACAAAAAATAAAAAATAAAAAATAAAAATACACTACTGCACTACAATTGTTTGTAAGAGTATATTTGGAAATTGCAGTGCAGTCCTTTCATAAGAAAAAGAAATGCACCTGCATTATGTATGAGCTGTTTGTTCTACACAAAGGATGACCTAATAGGATAAATCGAAGTGTTTTCATATCTCTCGCCAACAGGAACAGTGGTTCAAGCAAACAAATACAAGTGCTGCTAGCAGAGACACTAAATCCTTTGGAAAAATATGAATTGGGGGCCTGGAAGGCACGACCCCAGTTCAGGGAGAAGGTAATAAACAACAGAGCGAAGGGAGGAAAGGAAAGGAAAGGAAAGAGAAAAGATACAGGTAGAAAGTAGAAGCAGTCAGAGATGGATGAAGAGACACTTGAATTGTAATCCCAGCTCAAAGGATTTTTTTTAATTCACAGTCTTGTTTTCTTTGTTTATTTTTAGCAGTAATTAATGCTTAACAACAGCAAATTAAGACATGCGATTAATGTATTAACGTATCTATTTAAGACATATTAAGGTCATAATTTTAGACACACAAACATAAGACTCTTTAAGGATGTGCCGACACTTTGCTGCAAATCCACAGAAACAATTATAGGTCAGAAAAGAAACCCTTCTGATAGCTCATCAATTTAGGTAAAATGTTTCAGAATGAAACCAATGTAGAGTCAAAGGGTAATTTCAGTAAGTAGATCTCAAATTTAAAAAAAAAATAATGCAACAATTAAAGTTGTATAGGAAAGAAAAAAACAGAATCGTGCAAAACTGACATCAACAGATCAGAGCTCAATCAAAACATTGCTTGAAAAAGGAGCTTCTCTGTCCCACTGTTTTCTATGACTGGTGTCCACGAAGTGGTGACGTGAATGACACAACACATTGTTTCCCAGCAGAATCCACAGCCCCAGGCTTCATCCGGTCACCCGCTGTGCATCCTGCTGTCAAATCATCCGCAGGTAAATGACTCGAACACCATTCATACCAACCAGAATGTGATTGATCCAGACTGCATGGAAACGACTGCTGTGGCTACATGTCATCAAGACTGAAGCCAGTACAGAGTTTCCATAAAGTGACGTACCCGGGGTATATGCAGGTTTCACCAACTTAAGACTTTTTCTGACCTCCTTAAGACTATTATGATAAAATTTAAGACCTATATCACAACAGAAATGTTTAAAAGAAATGCAGGGGACCAAAACTGTGAAATTTATGGGGTCTTTCTGTGGCTCTTTGTGCTTCTCATATGGTATATGGCTCTCTATGCCATATGCTAGCTGCTAATGGTCCGCTTCCTTGCTTGCTAGCTGTATCACATATTTAAGACTAACTTACATTTTCCATATGAATTCAAGACATTATAAGGGCTTAATATTAGATAAATAAATGTAAGACTTTTTAAGACAATTTAAGAAGCACTGATGGGGTGTGTGGGTTAAAAACACCCCATCAGTGCTCCAGTAGACTAGGAAAGTGGCTGTAGTGAAAACCTCTTTCTGGAAGGTTTTCACTCCATGTAAAAGATGTATGGCATCCTTTTCCAAAAAATAGGCATAGTAAACACATTTGAAAAACTTAAAACACTAATTAAATTAATGAGCTAAAAACACTGATTCCATACAACTTGGTTAACAGTGAGAATAACTGGTCAAAACTGCTGTTATAAGTGATAACGTTCTCAAATCAATACAGATTGTTTTATATAGCACCATGTCAAATATAATCTTGAGGCACTTTACAAAAAAGTGACTTCAATCCAACCATATAGACAGATTCAATTCCACATGTTCCAATGCAATTTCCAAATGGATTTTTGATTTAACAACCAAAGTTCTTGTAGCTACCTACATGTCTTTGACATTGGTCTGAGGAAAAATATTCCCACTTTTCACATTTTTAGCTATTAGATGTTGGAAGAGCTTACGCCACTGTGCATTTTCCTCAGAAACCTTCTGATAAACAGTCAAATGTAAGGTAGATTCTCTGATAGTGAGCCAAAAACGTCCTGCTGCAGCACAGCAGCCTGAATACACAAGATTCACAGCTCTTCTCCTGGACGCTGCAATTGGTTTATACAAAATATGCCATCTGTCCTGGTGTCCAAATAATTCAAATTCAGACTAATTTGACCAGAGAGCATTCTCTGTGGATACCTTTAATCTAGCCTTCATGTTTCCTTGTTAGTACGAACTAAACACATGACCTTTAAATAGGGCAAACCTTCTTGAAAATGCTGAGTAACCAACCCTTTTGCCATCATACGCGCCTGATGTGATGAGCTCATGTTTGATGTTAGCCCTTTCAAGAGTGAATAAATGTAGCGGGTGTCCAATAAATTGCATTTTGATTACATTTTAAAGAACATTTGGTGTCGTCTTCCTCTTTATTTTATCCAGGCTTTCGCTCATTCACACACTGATGCAAGCACAGCAGAGCCTCTGCCCAGTCACGGTTCAGTACTTCCAGATTTGTCTGAGGAAAGTAACTCCAAATTATTCTCCGAAAACCCGCCTGGACGCTGATTCGCAAACCTAAAATATTGAAAAGAAAGCGCAGCTTGGGAAGCTGAAACACCCAGGCACAATGCTAATTAACACGCTTTTGGCTGGCATTTGCAAAGCAGCCGATCCAGGAGCATGTTTTATTTTCCTTGGCGTCGACTGAACACTGTAGATGTTAGGATCTGCCTCAGTGCTAAGACGATGTTTCCACTGTGTGTTAATGCATTTTAAGGAATATTCGGTGTCTAGACTATTAAAACTATTAAAACAGGCTGATTTTAATGATTCACAGGTGGGTGTGGTAACCTCTGAGAATACTGTAATCAAAACTGCATGTCTCTGCAACACTAGTTTGAGGTAAGAAGTTTATGATTGGCCCAAAAAAGATTGATTAAAAACTGGCCATCAAAAGCAACACTGCTCCATCAAGCTGAAGGCATTTACTCATTGGGGTACAACTACAGGATCGGTTGAGCTTGCTGCTTTAGCATATTAAACATATCAAGGAGACCAAAGTGGAAGATTTTTGTTCCAGATTTTTTGCTTCCTGTCCACACAGACCCGGCGCAGCTCATTATGAGGCTGACAGCTGGAACACACAGTCCAGAAAAAGCAAAGAGACAGCTTAACAGGTAGGTGAGACAAGGGGTGCAGCTTATAACACTCCACATCTTTCTCCAAGTGAAAGGCTCTCATCTGCGAGTGTCGACTGTCAGGAGGAGGAGGAACACTTAAAGGCAGGGTAAAAGGTTGCCGTGAATCAGATTCCCCACAAAAAAACAACTTTGCTTTCATCTCCATAGAATATAAGAAACGACTGAAGTTTCTACATATTAAACAGACATTTAGCCATCACAAAACAAGTTTTACATTTTTGCATGTGGGATATTTTTGGTTCAGTGGGATTAGTGTGGGATGTGTGCGAGTTATTGCTACATAGATATTTTTACGAACAGTGATGAGTCAAGCAGAAGGATTAGAGAGCCACAATATGCCAATGCTGCTCGGCGGTGTGCATTATTGCTCGATAAGCAGGTCAAGTAAATGATTGTTATTGTTCCACTAACAGAATTTCAGCTGAAAATGACAGCCAATAATGCGGGACACGCTGCAGACAAAGCACATGGCCTGACATCCAGCTATGAGCAGAAACCTGTGCGTCACTGGGATGGAGATGAGCACCAAGCACACAAACATGCAGGCACAGTTTGCTTGTTGTTTTAGAGATGACAATACCTGAAAGCAACAAAAGCCACTAGGAAAATACAAAGTTCTATCTATTTATAATGTGTTGACTAATGTTAATTTTAACTTTTTCTAATTCTTGCACCCCCACCAGGCTAAGCATTGTTTGCTTACTTATAATAGTTTTTTTAGTAATAAGTAGCACTAACACTGGGGATAAGGCTTAGTGTCCATAAGGACTACATTAAGCATCCATACATTCATTTGTAAGACCTTAGCATCTCATGTTAAGGTTCTGCCTTCCATTTTTTATTTCAAATTCAGAATTTTTTGCATTCAAAGTTGAAAAAATGAAATCAATTGGAATAGTCCCCAAGATCTGAATTTTGACCTGGACAGTCTGATTTTGGCCATTTGGGTATGTTGAAAAGAGTGGACCTCTGTGCTATATCTGTTCTACAAGGATTCACCACAGAAAGTGTCACAGAAAAATGTTCACATAGGCCAGTCTCCATTATTTTCTCCTAAAACTCTGCACATATGGAGTGTTGTTTTCAACAACTGACTGGAAAAAACAGCACACAACTTGGGACTGAAGTATGATGAAGTGGCTGTCATTTCCAAATCTGATGTTAGACTTCCAATGTAATGTGCAATATAATCATTGTGTATGATTGAGGTTTTCTGATCGTAAATCTTTAATTTTGATAATCTTTATGGAATGCTGAATATACTTTGAAAGGTTTTACTAGATTTGCTATCTAAAGAAGAGCTGTCATTTCTGATCTACTACCTTCCTTTCCATTTCTCATTTGATAGAAAAAAATTGAATTTTCAGCCGATGCCATTTTTTCAGAACCCTAGGGTCTTCCTGATGTCCAACAATTCCTTCCATTATTCTTGTGTTATTTCTGCTATGAGCACTAAAATGCCTGGATTGCCCAGTTCACCTAAATCTAATCCCAAGATTTTAATCAAACAAGCACAAATTCAACATCTTCGAAAACTTTACAGATGTACAAGGTGTAGTCTGAACAAAAAGGTAAGTGGTCTTCAGTTTAACCACCAGTTTGCTCATTTAAGCAACAGTAGACTGCAGTGGATGGGAGTAGGTACATGTATCCCACCTTTACGTAAAGAAGCTTCAAGGTTTCAGCTTAAATGTGCTCCATCTTCCCTCACCCACTCACTGTTTGGAACAAATATAGTGAGTCAGGTCAAACTCTTTCTTTAGGGTCACGCCCACTCAGAGTTTCTGATGAAACCGGGACCAAAAGGTGACTCGACCCTGTGACCTCCGACTTCCCAGCTGCATACTGATACAGAAGAAGTCAAGAAATTTCTAGTGGAAAAGAAAAATCTGTAATTATACAAAGACAGAGGGGTAAGCCTTTCTACAACATTGATTAGCATTAGTACACAAGTTTTAAAAGCCATTTATGATTTTACATTATCATATGTAATGGCTCCTTTGACTTGCAGTGTACGGTGTCCTTAGAGGCACAATAGACATCTTTCTCCCTGATGATGAAAGGCAGTTCTTAAATCATCTTTCAGTTTGACAAAAGAACAAGGGATCTCATTGTAGTTCAGTGAGATTATATTAAACCAATACTAAAGCTTTCATGTTACAACCTTCATACATGTCAGGGCATACTTTCTCACATAGGAAATGGTTCATTGTTAAACTGCAATGTTTTATGATGAATGAGCCATGTGCTAGCTAGATGGGTGGACAGACAGAAGGACGTATTTGACTGTTTTAAGGTAAAAGCAATGGTCAGTTTAAATGGAGAACAGCATCAACCTCCAGATGAAGAGGAAGAGCTGACTGTTTTCAGCTCAAAGAACCGTGAAGAAAAAAAAAACAAAAAAACAAAAACAAGCTAAGACTGAGAAATGGAGTCATAACCAGACAGAAAAATTAGGCAATATCCGACAACAGTTTTATTAACAAGTTTATAAATTCTGTGCTCAGACCCAACACCACGCTGAGCTCTCAAATAACTATCGACAGTGAAGAAAATGAAAGTGTTTTATAAAAAGGAAAGATATGATGTGAAATGAAAACAACTGGCACACCACAAACAGATATGTCACCATCTTTATGAATTATTAAGACTTTCTGAATAGTATTGAAAGCAAAATGCCAGCAGGGAAAAAAAACAGCGCAAGAGATAAATAAATAATCCAAACAATAAACACTAAAATAATAAAAACCTGAGCAGAAAGAGGAGTGACATTAATCTCTCCAGTATAAAATTCACAAAAAGTAAAAATCTCACTACGTCTCTTTGAATTCAGTAAATGCACTAAAAGGCTGCATCGGCTTTTTTTTGCTGAGAACACATAAATTCTCCGTTTACTGGGTCTTGCGTGGAAGACAGAAAATTCAGCATTATCGTTTTCTTGAGTGTATTAATACATCGAGATGGATGAAACCGCAGAGTTGATTCCAAAGTTCAGTAAAACGAGGGTTTCAAACTGAAGGTATATACAGAAATAAGCCGCTTCATTAAAAAAAAAAAACACTTCAATTTCTGCCTCTGTGAAACACGAGGAAGTCACGAGAAATTCCTGTACCAATCCAAAACCTTCAGACTTTAAGCTTCTGCTGCCGATCATGTTTCATTTAAACATATGAGTGACAGGTGAAAACACGAGATGAGCTTCATGACGGCAGGCGAGTTTGCATCTGGAGCTTGGCAATGATGTTACAAAAGAACACTGCGGCTTGAAATGAGGCTCTCCGATTATCATTAAGGAGGCACACAAAGCCATGATTCAGCAGCGGGGGGGATTTGCTGTAAATTGCATCGAGGCTACGATGCAGTGGGGAAAATGACACAATAATCCACACCTCTTTAAAGACAATGCTTCAAACGCAAAATGCCTCAGACAGAAATATCTTTTATTCTCAGCTATCAGCTTTAAGGCATGAGGGAAGACAATCGCTTCAGTAATAGTCGGCCGCTGAATATTTGGATCTGTTTATAGCATGAACCCAACAGAGTATATTCACTATGCATCTATATTGTGGGGGGAATGTTTTCAGCACAAATAGAAAATTTTTATTATACATTTATGACTTATTTTATTCAAAACTTTTTAATACGTAATATTTCACAAAATAAGTTCACCTTTATTGCGTTATGCCTGAACTAAACTCTGAGTTGAACAGAAATGCTGCATTTTGGTCAGATGATCCTAAAATGTACGGTGGCCCAAAAGGGTAAGCAAAATGCCACGACGGAAAAAAGTCACAACATAAGTTCAATTAAAACTGAAGTTAAGCTAAAACATAATTTTGTGCTATATCAGAATTTATGCTAAAACAGAATTTGTGCTAAAATACAATTTTTGCTACCAAAGAAATGTAAACTAAACAAAAGTTTTGCTAAAGCAGAATCTTTTGCTAAAAAAGGCATTTATGCTAAAATGTGAGTAGTAATAGAACAGAAGTTATGTTAAACCAAACGTTTAGCATAAACTTTTGGTTTAAATTATGCAAAGCCAAAATTTATGTTAAATCAAAGTTTTTCCTAAAAATTAATTTATACTACAAGAACAGTTATGAATAAGAAGGGTTCGGTGAATGCGCGTATGAAACTAGGGGGTTCGGTACCTCAAAAAAGGTTAAGAACCACTGTTTTAGTTCAAGATGCTTACACAATGAAATATACTTTTTTTTTTTCTTTTGGAGTTTTTTTACACACCCTTGTCAAGGGTGACAGTAAGGGTGAATGACACTGTTTGACACTTACACAAACTTACAGTATTTCTGGACTTTCACTTAAACGCATGGTTTCACATGTGGAACTTGAGACTTCACATTTTTTCATGTAAATCTGTCATTGCTCCTGCGATGGAATTATTTTGTATCTAAAGACCAGTAAAGAACCAAGCAGTATGTCAGTTGTGCCCCGTCAGCTTACCTTAGGGGCTGAATGCAGACCAATAACTCTGCTTTATATTCTGTTATCATTTTTTCCTCCTCAAAACTTTCTCCTGAGGCCAATTTGTCACGGAAAAGTCATCGCTAATGCTCCAGAAAGCAGAGCTCCCACCAAGAAAATGTGGTGATTCTACAGAGCAGTGATAGCCATTGTTTTCTATCGCTTAAATATTCTGGTCTTCGGACCAAAGTATGACTACGGTTTGGACTTGTGTCAGTGTCAGTGTTAATTTATCTATGTAGCACATAAAAACAACAGACACTGACGAAAATGCTTTACTGTTCAATCAAGTGAAACAAGATAAACACCAATAAGAAGAAAACAAAGATATATATATATATATATATATATATAAAAAAGAAAAATACATAGTTAACTATCATTATTGAAAAATCTCAAACTCTGCTAGAAAAATTGCAAAAGGCTGAGCACCTCTGGATTTTAGCATGGATCCAGGAACACTTAAGAGAAACTGCTTGGCTAACCTCAGTGCTCTCACTGGAGTGTGGATATTAAGCAGATTACAGAGACATGATGGCGCTCAGCCTTTTACAACTTTAAAACTAAAGCAATAAAATCTGGAAATCAATCCTAAACCAAAACATTAAGCCCATACAGAGAAGCCAGAACTGGAGATGTGCATTCACATTTTTTTTAGCACTTGTTAAAAGACCAGCTGCTGCATTTTGGATGGTTTGTAGATTTCATTCCTTTAAATCATGTTACTGGCAATCAATAAAGAGAAGAAAATTTGAACTGAAACCACCTTTATTAGTGGATTTGATACACCTATGTATTTTTTTCCCCTTCAAGTAGCTTTTACTTTGTATAACATTACCTAAAGGATCTGATCAATAATTCAATTTAAAATAAAAAAATGTTAATGATGGTTGAATACTTTAAGTACTTTATAGTAAGGACATAAATTATTAATTTCACCATCAGCTGCAAAAAATGCCACACTAACAAATGATTTTGTGGCCAGACGGCTCAGCTTAGCAGTTACACTTCTTTCAATTGTGAAGGTTTAATTAGTTAGAAAAACTGTAACAACTCTAGATGTGACTGAAGCACATTTATATGCAAGAACTTAATTTTCAATTTCACTTTTAGACCTACAGGTTACCACACCTCTTGGTCTAAGTAGGGAATTACTAAAATAATCCCTTAGAAATAAACACTTTCCACTACAAAGCAGGTTCAACAAATCACATTTCCTTAAAGAGAGCTAGCTAAGCTAAAGATAACATAGGCTTACTTATATGGTGATACAAAGCTGGTTAACTCAGTAAGTCGACTCATTCTTACTTGACTTCTTTGTGTCCATAAGTAATTTTACATCAAAGTTGATAAAAATCACATGCAGGGTTCCTCAAGGTTCTATCCTGAGGTCTTTCCTTTTTAGTATTTACTTGCTCCCTTTAGCTCAGATTATATCACATAACAAACTAAGCTACCATCATTATGCATATGACACAGCTCTACATTGCATTGTCACCAGGTGACTATGAACCCATTCAGTTGTTGAGTAGATGCTTAAAACAAATGAAAGCGTGGATGTACCATAACTTTCTTCAGCTGAATGAATCAAAACTGAAGAGCTTATTCTTGAATAAAAAGAGAAACAATCAAGACCTATAATGGCTAGAAACTACTGAACAAGTTTACTTCAGCTGAGCCAAACGTCTGCACAAACTGTAGTTCAGAGCTCGACGTATACCTGCACCATCTCCCACCCACATAACCCACAGATGATTTATTCATTCTAATAATAATCTGTGATTGATTTGTAACATGACACTTCAGGTTGTTGGAAAAGTGAGATTGGCTTACAGTAGTGCTCTGAGCCAACAAATTTAAACGTGTTATATAACAAACAAGATTTCTCGGCATTGAGTTTGTTGGAAAGAAAATAGTTCTGCCAGGAGCAAAGCAGTCACCATAGGGATTTGTTTCAGGATGTGTGTTTAAATGGTGTGGGCAATCATTTTCATTCTGCATTATTTATAAAGACAGTTAGTACAGCCTAAGCAGAGTTTGCTTGTGTGTGATATTTACTAGGTAAGCCTCTTTCTCCTATTACTTCTGTCTCCCTTACACATCTCTTGCTTAGTCATTCAACAAGGATTTAACTTCCCTCTATTGTGTGGCCAGTGGAGCTTGGTTAACAAAAACAACAAAAAAAACATATCTGTATGCACAGTACAAAGCTCTGCAAGTAAACACAAGCTTTGGCGACCATTGCTCAGCAATGGTCGCCAAAGTGGCGATTGCCAATCGCCAATCGCCAAAGTCAGGTAGAATTGTTTCCTTTGAAGGTTGGGCATGAAGCTGGAAGAACCTCAGAGGACTGGAGATTCTGAAATATCACACTGTGCTTTGCTGTTTACTGACCTTGATCAGACAGGAAGTCCAGCATGGTCTGCAACAGGAAGGACAGGTGGCGCACAGACAGGCCCGGGTTGCCCATGCGGCGGGAGGCGTACACCAGCTCATGCAGCAGGCGCATCTGTACGGCTGCCCAGCCTCTGTGGGTGCCTGGGACAGAGAGAGAGAGAGGAACACACTCACAGGGCTGCCAAAGATTATTACCGACACTCTTTAATGAACTATTTATTTGACTCTGTGTTTTAGGGTGCATTCACACTAGCCTCATCTAGTCCTCTTTAACTGAACTCTAGCTGGTTTGTCTAGAATGTCCTGCTTTGGTTCTGGTATTTCCCAGCCCTGGAGGAGAACACAACGAACGTGGGGAAGTTCAAGGTAAGCACTGCGTTTGTCAATTACAAATATATATACATATATTCCATATCACATCTCTACCAAACAGATTAAATATGTTATTAACTCAGCTGGTTCTGAAGCCCTTTATCTTTCTAACCTGACATCAACAATGCCCCCGGACCCTCTAAAAGACGCCCTGCTCCGTTTTGCTGACTGCTGACTCACAGAAAAGGAAAGAAAGAAAAACCAGAGGAAAAGATGTGGTGGGAAGGCCAGAGGGTACAGAGAGGGGAGGGAGGACATTTGACAAAGCCATAAATATTTCCTCAGCTTAAACACCATTTCAAATAACATCAAATCATACTTCTGCTGCTCTGCCATTATCAGCACTTTTATCCCCATGGTTGTTATTCTCTCTGACTTCTTTACTATCTGAACAAACTGCACATGTAGTTCCTTTATAAGCATTTTTCCCCCCCATTATAGTGAGAAACTGCACCCACTCAGCAGGCTAAAAATAGCTGACTTCTACCTATCTGCCAGAACCAGTGTTTATCCAGCACAGTAATCCACAGGATGCTGGCTTTTGGAAGGCTGTCGCTCTCGCTCAAACACAAAAAAAACAGCTTGATTTGCTGCATTTCCAGCCCTGAACGGGAGACGTCTGGAAATCCAATTAACACACTGCCAAGATAATGACTGTGCTGCCACAGCCTAGTGGCTGCACTGTCATACAAACCTCAGACAAACGCTACTGAGTCCTCAGGCTGCTTCTGATCTGCTGCACAGAGACAACCAGCCAACACGTTACTCCTCTAGAACAGAGCTGAAATGATTCATAGGATTCATGGACATGAATCGATTATTGAAATAATCCTTCTTTAAGATTAAAAACGTCTTTGTCTTTAAATATGTTCTATCAGAACTCCTCAAGTGGCAGTTTTAGCTTCACTTGATTCAACAAATCTCATATTAAGCACCTTTTGTTGTCCATTTATTAACTGGTTAATAAAAATAAATGAATAAACAGAATACTGCACTGTGCTGTTAAGAAAGGACTGAGCGTTCCATATGTTGATGTTAGAAACATTGATTTAGCTGCAGAGATCATTAAAGGAATGCTGCGATTGCATTTTATGCAATAAAATGTTTATTTTCTCATTTCAAAAACGGAATTTAATTATTTGTTTATTTGTATTTTTAATGTAGTTCTAATATTGTATAAAAACCGTAAGTGGTTGAATGAAAAATGTGCACAATGTGCTGGGTTTTTTTTTTTTATCCAAGTAAACAGTTAATCAACAGACTAATGCAAAAATAATTGTTATAATAAAAAAAGTAAACTTCTATTTTTCAGGTGATGACATGATGAAAAAACTGAATGGAAGTTTATACAAGCTGATGGATTTCTATACTTGCCTATTTATACTGCTACATTTTTTCCTCACTTCAACATCTTCATCCTTTTCAAAATCCCCATAAAAGCACTGGAGCCTGTTTGCTTTTAAATGTGTGAATGTTTTCTGCAGTGAAAATCAGTCTCAATTATTTTCTTTTAGTGTCAAGGGAAAGATTCTTGTTGATTTCTGAGGAGGAAGTGTATTACAACATGAAAGGACAGCATGAGTAAAAGGCTATCGGAATCTTTTGCGAATGCCCAATATTATATATTTTTTCATTTTTCAGAATGAACTCCAATATTTTCCCTCAGATTCCATTCCCCACTCATAAAGCAAACAAGGCCAAAGATTCAAAGTGCATCAGAAAGAGAAATCTCGCTCAGACGGTTCTCCCTTGATAAAATGTGAATGTTTCTGAGTGCCTCTTTTCAATGCGAGTGCCGTCTTTTATAGCTAATGCTTTCAACAGTTTGACTGCAATGAGCCGGGGTCAAGAGTCTGTAGAGTCCTGAAGCTGCATCACAAAGACCTTAACACCGAGAGCCCTCCAAACGCTGCCAGTGGATCTCAGCTGTGCCTCTCTCAGAGTGAAGAAGGGGCCGGAACGCACGGCACACTGCAGGAGAACACCTTACGAAACGAAGCTTCTGAAGTCATCGTTTATGACCTCTGCCCCCTTACCTTTGCTGAAGTCCTTGGGGTCAAGTGACAGGCTGTATCCAGGCAGAGTCTCCAGCAGCAGCTTGTAGCAGGCCCTCCAGCCTGGCTCGGAGATGGTGGGTGCCACGCACTGCATGGCTGCCACGCGCTTGAAGAAAGCCGACTTGCGGTGGAAGCCGATGAGCTCGTAGAGCTCGGACAGGATGCTGTAGCGCTGGATCTTCTCCTCCTCCGACAGCTGCAATTATATGGAGATAATTGCCATTTAGCAGCTGCAAGCTACACCCTTATGCCATCATTTGAGTCACGGTGGAGGCAGAGAGCACTGAAGCGTCATTCTATTTGAAGAAACTCAGGTTTAAACAATCCAGACCGTTGATTCCCTGCCCTCTATAGACGGTTTAACTCTTCTTGGGAGTGTAGAAGAGTTAAACTTCATTCTGGAAACTCTATGCTGACACCACCGCAGCTGGGAAGAACTCATTAAGTCAACTTGTCACTTCAGGAGTGGATGAATGTCTGTCAGATGGAGCAGACGCACAGACAAAAAGTTAACCCGGACCCAGCAAAGCTGGACTCTGCTTTGTTGCCACCAGTGGACTAATGGGTATTTGGATTTTTTTCGAGCCTTTGTTTTGGACATTTATCTTTTTATCTTTTGTTAGATGGCCAAAAACAGGAAAAAGAAGAAGAGAAAAACAAACAAAGCAAACACTTCAAAAAACCTGTTCACTTCCTCGCGTGTGGTGGCGCTGCACCAAGAATCACTGAAGGAAACAACACAAAAACCTGTGAAGAAGACCTGAGAGCAACTTCCTTTATCACAAAATGTAAACAAAAATCGGAGCATCAGATTTTAATGGGTGGAGGTTTTCTCTTCAGTCTTTGGTAAAAGACCACAAGGAATTTCTCCTGCTAAATGCAAACATCTGTTTTGGTTGCATTAACCTGGATTGCCCTGAATTGCAGTCCACTTCCAGCTTTTGGAGCGGTCTCCGGTCCGGTTGGCGTTCACAATTGCATTTGCACTGCAACAGAATTCCCCTGAACTGAACAGAGATCAAGGTTTAGGTTTTTGTCCACATCAGAGTGTGATTAAGCATTCACACCTCCCCAAACAAACCGAACTTTCAAAGCAAACAACAAGAGTGCAATTAAATTAGAGTAAGCAGGGCAATCGAACTCTGAAGTGGACGAGAAAAAACGAACTGTGGTCTACCAAATATTCGTTTGACACAATGTAGTGTTTAAGAGAACCATACCAACTGAAGATGAAACAAATGTTACAACTTTGGCCCCCAGTCAATCTGAGTCCACTATCAGGTGTGAAAACATCCTAAATTATCCTCAACAATCCAGCCATTTAGATAATCAGTGAATCAAGGTACATAATAAGTTACATAATGCAGGGCAGGATGGGTTTTCTCACAGGAGTTGGGTCACTGCTGCTGTTGTGGACAACCCACCAGAACCAGTCGTGTTTACCGTGCTGTGTGTTCCCAGTCAGTGATCATACCTGTCCCAGGTTGATGTAGACTGCGTTCTGCAGGAACTCTGAGGCCTCCCTGGCTCTCTTCTGGATGGCCAGCACCCTGACGGCTTTAACGCAGGCCTCCAGCTCGATCACACCTGCGTTCTTGTACTGTGGGGCATTAAAGGAGGACATGCTTAGTGCTGCTACAAAAGAAATCACCAGAATTTATTGTTTTGTCCTTAACACGCAGTGGGTGCTACACTTATCATTCAAAAATCAGTATTCCACAGCATTATATACTGAGGAATTTTTCTCACCATTTTCCTGACTGATACTTATGGAAGGCAATTTGAAAGAAAACATTAAAGCCTAACAGGAAGTCATAATTATGAGACATAAAGTTGTAATTATGAGATTTAAAGCCCTAATTATGAGATAGAAAGTCACAATATTGACTTTCACACCCATTATTATAAGATTCAAAGTCATAAATTTGCCTTTTCGTCTGAAATGGTCAACTTCTGCTCTGTTACCATAATTCACCATGTATTCACAAAGCTAAGAAGAGCTAACATGCTATTCTGGTATTTCATAATAATAATTTTAAATCTTATAATTATAACTTTCTCTATCAAAATTATGACTAACTCATAAATTATGAATCTCTGAATTATAATTGTAACACTCAAAATTACAGAAATGGAAACCATTTCATGGCAGAAATGGGATTCCAGATATCCGGTTCCATACGGTTGCTGTCAATCACCTCTCAGGGATTTCAGTTTCAATGTGTTGGGAGAAAAAAACAGCAGCAGTTTATCTGAGTCCCATGGCTTTCTTCCACTTACATCCTCACCGTCTCTTCTATTGAAATTCAATTAATATTAAATGTCTACGTGTTGAAGCGTAATTTAAACCAGAAGGAATTAGATACAGGTAGACGGGATGAAGGCAGACCAGATCAACACAAAAAGGAAATGAAAAATAATTATAAGACTAACAACTGCTTATGAAATGTAACTCACTTCCAGCAAGTTGGGAGCAACTTCATTGAAATTATTAGTAATAATATATATGGTTTGTAGACACAAAGCACTGCTTTAAAGGGTTATCAGCATGAAAGCTTCGGTTTACAAGCTCTAATGTTTCATAGAAAGTCACATCTATCTGTCTCATTCGGCCTGAGCCAGTCAAAATCTGTCCACGTCTGCTAATGCAAATATACATCATCCAATACTGCCCCCTACTGAGAAGGATGAATACAGACAGCCATGCTGACATGATCCAGCATGGCTGCAAGAAATCAAGGAAATGTATCCACATAATGAGGGATCGCTGAGAGTTTTATATCAAAGCCTAGATTATAACAAACCTGGGATCTTAAAATTAATTCTGCAGAGGCTGAGTTTTCATAAGAACACAGAAAACTCATTTTTATGGTAATAATAGAAGATATTCTTTCCAAAATTCTTAATATCACTTTAACCAGGGGTTAACTGTGGCTCTTATGAAACCAAATAAGAACAATTTTATTTAAATATAAATGTTATAAGATGCATGTGATTATGTATGTTTTTATTCAATATTTGCATATAATAACAACAAAAGGTCTCCACTTTTTCAAGTCTTATTTAAGGGAAGAGCTCACTCAGCTCAACTTATTCAGCAAAATTCATGTTTTTTCTTTCCTTTGTTAAATTTATGATTCATTCTGTTCTAAAATCTGAAAATAGAATTAATAATACATTTTTCCTTTCATTTATTTGGAGCTCAAAAGGAAACATTTCACTAGTTCATATTCATTTATCTCTTTTGCAGCTCTATACAATATTTATTTCATAGTAGCATTTGATTACCTCTAATTTAAACATTTCATATTTTACATTATGAGCACAAACTTCAAAGCATTTTCAGGAGTTTTTATGTGATAAAGCAACACAAGGTAATGACCAATTTTCCACCGGAAGAAAAATGACATCAAATGACATATTTTCAACATTGTTCTACAAATAAAAATCTGAACAGCAGGATGTTTTTGTATTCAGTCCGCTTGTGTCGAAACTCTACAAAACAATTTTCACTGAAGTCAAAGCTGTAGTCTCTGCAAATCTAGACACTGTTTTCATTGCATTTTCTTATTTGAAAGGTTTGCGTTAATCTATCAATAAAACACTTAGGTGTGTGTTTTATGTACCTTCCCGTAGTAAGAGATGGCCTCTTTGTATTTCTCGATGATGTCCTCCGGACTCAGGCAGTTCTTTGCTCGTCCGATCTCTGTGCTGGTGTCGGCGCTGATGCCGTTGGCCGTCAGGGCACCTGCAAAACGAGACGCGATAAATTATTCGAAGAAAAAAAGTTTAGAATCTCAGCTTATCAGCTGCGTTGACACCAAGGAGAAAACAATGAAAGCAAAGAGGAGAACTGAGAGCACAACTGCTAGAGTGGCATGCATAGCCCACATATTAAAACCAATTAAACGACTGCAAAAAAAAATAAACCTACCCCAGTAAAATTAAGACCCACCCCACCACACACATACACGCAATCTACAGAATAAGGTGACCAGAACCAGCTTAGAAACTATTTAAAATCAAGATTTACCACTAAATCTAAACTAATCCCAACTTTAAATAAAAAAGGAAAGAATATAAGACTAACGGTGCCTTTTAGAAGACGGCTAATGTTTGTCAAAAAAACATCCAGCTAAATCAAAGTGAATAAAGTAAAACGACTAGATTGCAACACTCAAGAGTTCAGACAGAAGTTGTGTCCATAGCAACCGTGTGGCATTGCTATGTCGCACCACACCAATATTTTTAACCTCAACATTAAGCAACATTTAAAAAGACACTTAGAGTATGCGCCACAGGTGTTGAACCATCAACTCTGGGTGTTTAAAAGAGTTATGTAACCTAAAGATTTCAGAAAAAATGATGTTTAAATGTAAGAAATTTGCGGGGTTTTCTTTTCTTTTTTTTTAGTCAAAGAAGAATGTAAAATATGACAATAATCAATAGTGTCTGCTTAAAATACACTCAGAACTGTGATGCAGAATACAAAGAAGCAATGAAGTGAAACTGAATATTAACCAAAACACCAGAGCTGCTGAAAACAAAAAGCATGTGAGCGCGTGCAAACCGAAGGACTACAGTGTCTAGAGGAGCTACAGTGGTTAAACAGTCAGTCCATACCTGGGTCAATGAGAACCTCCTGAGCCCCTACAGACAGAGAGAGAGAATGCAGATTCATTCCATGACACAAGGCGCAGCGTTAGCGGAGTTAGCAGAGTTAGCAGCCACATCCTGTTTCATGCCTGCTGCTGCTGCAGCATGCTAGCTGCACCGTATTCATAATGTTTTAATATCAAAGTTTAAGGTAAACTCAAAGGAGACGATTCTGTCCTCACGTTAACTTGTCCGGTCTAAAATTTCTTGAATATGAGTTGCAAATTTTACTGAATATTACTCTCTTTGATGGTCAACTATTTTAATGAGTTGGCACATTGTGCTGACAAAAAAGAAAACATATTTTTAAAACTATGCAAGTCATAACTACAATGGAAAATTCCAGAAAAGCTGGGGAAAGAACAGACAGAATAAAAGAACAAAGAAAGGACTGAACAAATGAACGAAGGAACAGAAAGAACAACTGGAAAAAAACAAATTGAAGAATAAAGGGGGAACAGAAAGAGTGAAAGTAAACTACGAACAAATGAAGGAAGTACAAACAAAAAGAAAGAATGGAAAGAATAAATGAAGGAGGGAACAAACAAACAAATGACTGATGGATAGATTTAGACAGTGGAACTCTGGAAACATATTTTTATCCAATTTCTTTTTCTACACCAATCCAGACCTGGAAAACACTGAGGTCAAATTTAAAATTTCATACCGCATAGAAATCCTGTGTACAAATAAACTTAAACTCAACAGCAAGTTGATACACAATATTATTCTGATATAACTGTGAACAAAGAAAAATACTCAGTTCAATGTCAGTTTTTTTTCCTGTAACTTCTTACTTTTGCTTAAAATATGTACTAGCATTAAAATATGTATTAGCATTAAAGATAGCAGAGTTAATAGCAAGTTAATTAAAAGGGGAAGATGGCACAACATTGTTAAAGTTTAAATTAGCAATCAGCAGGAGAAAATACACACATTTCAGCATTTAAGAAAGCTTAAAGTGAAACCAAGCAGTTCAGCTGAGCAAAGCTTGGCCAGCCAGCAGATCCATTCTGTTTCTCTGAGTCACTCAGGAGAGCCGCCGTTTCCGTTTCCTGTTTGCAGCCCAGTGGTTACCTGGTCTGTGGCGTTTGCCCGCGTCGGCCGGCTGGGAGATGCTGGGCTTGCGTGCGGCCATCTTTCCTGCTGTGCCTCCCGGGTAGTGGAAGATGACAGAGGCTGAACATAAGCCTTCCAACGCAGCTGCAAACAAAACCACAGGTGCACAGATTCTGGGATCTGACAATCGGTTTTTTGGTTGTAAAGTGACAAAGTATGAAAAATAAAAAACATCTGAGGAGTACGAGTACTTTTGCAAGCCACTGTATGTGAAGAGCATGTTGGTGTCCAAAAATGGCATGCTTTGGACACCAAACCATTATAAGAAAATCTGTAGTAAGTTAAAGATTATCTGACACTGAATTTCCTTTAAAAGATGGCATGGGTCAAAATATATGGGTTTCATGGGTTTGACAAATGCAACCAAGTCAACCAGCTACAATGTCACATTTTTGCAGGATAATGCTCATTTTAAAAAAATAAATAACTCCAATTTAAGACTGGACAGCTGGTCTGGTGTCCTACAATCAAACACAGCAAAAATGGACATTTCTGGTGTGCGTTTGTGGCTCTTGGCAGCAGATTTGGTTTCTCACACTGTATATTACTCTCTATAACTTTAGCCCCCCTTTAGCATCAAGCTTAAGTGTTGGGCTTTTTTGCACAGAATGCAAGAAGCCTTATATGAGTGGGTAACAGAAGCGAGCTGGTGGGGAAAACAAACTTCATCCAGAATAAAATCGATGAAAGTGCACTTTGTCACGATGGACGCAAAAACCTAGCTAGTTTCCTTTTCAAGCAGCCTGCGTTTTATTTTTTTACATAACATTTTGGTGGAAATAAATTAGGAAAAAGGAGAAAAAGGAAGCTAGTTAAATGTACCCTAAAATATCCTTGCTAGCAAGCATGGTAGGTATTTTAGCAGCTTTAGTCTGACAGAAAAGTTCCCTGTCAAAAAACTGAATAAACAAGATTAGATAGTCCTGCCACAGCAAAATGCAAGACCTGTAATTAATATGTTTAAAGCCGAATTACTATTTTATAAATAAGACATTTTAAGACTTTCTTAGGATGTGAGGACACTCTGTAAATATAACTATAACAAAAAATAAATAAATAAAAATAAAATGTTTAGGCTGATGCTTACCACCAAGCCAGAGGAAATCGTTGACTCCCCTGAGCAGCTCCACAGCCATGTGGTAGTGGACCAGCGCATCCTGCAGCATCCCCGCCTGCAGGCACAGGTCCCCGACATGCTTCCTCATCCGCCCCTGGCAACGCTTCTTGTAATGCCTGGGGAGCGAAGTGACAGGAATGAGGAGGGAAAACATTTTTGGAACCACTGCCAGAAGAACAAGGTGCATCAACATCTTTAACAAAAGTACTTCTTTTGGCTCCCGGTTACTCTAGAAACGATACTCTGAGTTTGTATAGGTAAAATGAGTTGGTTGGAGACAGGACAGGGGTCTCGTCTGTCAGCTAAAGTGTGATCTGGGCGACAAGACAAGGCACGAGGTATTCTGTGACTCGTCGGTTTTTGTTGGAGGGAGGAAAAAGGGAGTAGCTTCACCAGGACACAAGGGAAATGGAACTACTTTCATAAAATATGTATGAAATTATGCAGGACAGGATGTGTAAGCTCTTCACAAACACCAGGAAGGTCAATGGAAGAAAATGAAGTGGCTCAGCAGGTGGCCAAGAGCTTAAGAGGAAATACATAATAGAGAAGCAGGAGTGCTACAGCACAGACTCCAAACAAAAAGCTTTCAATTTCAAACAGGCCCGGCTGGATAATTAAAACAATACATGCGTTTTAAAAGTGAAATTAAATAGTGACGAATTATTACTAGATCATGAGTTTACATTTTCAGAGGTCAGTGCAGCTACCGGTTTACACAAGTAGAGATCCACTCATTCAAATGCAGTTTCACCAACTAGAACATCCTCATCAGACAGGAACAATGTGAGCAGGATAAACTGAGCTAGGCCACGGCTCTCCAAAACTTTTGGCATGTGGGTCAAAAGGACTAGTGGACCTAAGAACATTCTTTTTCCTTCTCAACAATAAACTAAGCCATGATATTTTAGCTAACCAAATACAGTCTGATTTTTTTGGTGGAAAGGGGCATGTCAATAATCTTAGACTCAAAAATGTTAAAAGATTTTACAGGTATGCTTCATTCAAAGAAAGACATCCAGTTTTCAATTATTTTCGAAAAAAAAAATTCTTTTTAAAATCTTTCTTTGAAAACCCTGCGTGCATTTAGGAAAGCTTCATAAATGAATGAAAAAAATTTTGATGGAGCAAAGTTTGTTTTTTGGTAAAAGTCATAGTATAAACCTCGCAGGAGAAAGTAAAAAGCCTGTTTGTTTAAAGACAAATACATATTCAACTTTGCTCAAGCTGATTATAAAATATACAGATTATAAAAATTTACTAGTAGATAGAAGGAGGATAGCCTCTAAAATCACAGCTATTTTTAACTTAGCCACTAGATGCCAGTAATTGTCACGCTCTGACCATTTGAGGTCAAAGATGTTTTCAAAAACTTTTTGATCTTACCAAAAATAAAATAAGACTTTTTTTTTTGTCTTGGGCCTGATGGTGTTTCCACATGGAGCGCAGCCAGAACACTGCTTTAGGAAAAACCGTTGGCAGTAGGCCTGTCACGATAAATTTTGCTGAGCGATTAATTGTCTAAAAAATTATTGCGATAAACGGTAACATTGTTTCAAGACCTTTTGACAATGATTTAATGGAAATGACGTAATAATGCATGCAATTTCCTGCCATAGATACATACATTTTATTTTCAAAAGAACACAACACTGGAACTGATAAACTAAAACAAAACAACCAAAAACAGGGGAAATTACATAGGGGAATCACAAACAGCTGACACGGCGCAACCCAAAATCCATCGGACATTGGAGATGATATGTGGAAACAACATTTCGTGCAAAGAATATAGAAATGACAAGGGGAGGAGTTGAAGCCAAATTGCTACCGCAGTTGATAAACCCGGTAACTTTTCAACTGTTCTTCGTTAACGTGAAATAGGTTATAATGATTTTCATTCAGTCAGGACTTTATGCTGACTCTAGCCACATGCATTGCAGGTAGATTCTAGTAAAGCATTGATTAATGCCTGGTTTTAAAATTAGTTAACTGGACTTGTAGTTATTTTGTACCCATATGGCTGGACACCACAAGGCACAACGAACCCGATCGAACCGTTATACCTAGGCTTTCTGTCGGCTAATGGTGGTCTGTCAGGTTTTGAAAATGAGCCGACAAATCTTTTAGTGTGCGCTGGGCATTACACTAAGGAAATAGGAAGGGAGGGTCAGTGGAGAGCACCAGAGTTGAGCCTTTTTCATTCAGTGTCATCAACAGAAAGAAAAAAAGACAGAAAGAGGATAAAGCCGATAATTAAAATGAGGTCGATAGGTTTAATTTATCGTGCGATTAATATTAATTGATTTATCGTTTATCGCGACAGGCCCAGTTGGCAGTGACACAAATAATGCAGCTTTTTTTTTTTGCTGACATCATTTTAGATTACAAACTTATGTGATGCATTTTATTCATTTCAAAGAGCTGTGCAAGCTTGAAAAGTTAACATAATGGCAAAAAGCCATCAGCTAACTTCATTTGAGTTTGTTCCCTTCATCAGCACAGGTGCAGCTCTTTCTAATTACCAGACTAATTAATTAGAAAACCCTGTAGTATTTTATTGTTTTGTTTTTTTATCAAATTGGCCTCATAGTGCAGAAGAACTCTGCAGAACTAAGTGAAAATGTCCAAAGTTCCTTCTAAAGATGGACATCTTGCTGAAGACAAGCAGAGTGTGTCCTGTTATTATACATGCCAATAAATAAATCGTACAGATGCACTTTGGAAAGAGTAGAAATTGTGACACAAAGTAAAACTTTGATGTAAAAATATGCATAATGTGAGACATATTACCATGAGACAATTGGGGTGGGATTTAATAAGCTTTCATCTTCTTTTCGAAATGGATATGAATGTTTTGGGTTAATTATTAGTAGGACATTTTGATTGTTTCTTCTTAATCACTTTTTTTTCCCTCTGACATTTTGCTTATTCAGAACCAATAAAGGTGTTATGACTTGTTTGGTTCAGATGGTGTCAAGTGTGTGTAGCAGCAGGTGGAAGGAGCGTCTTGCCTACAGTCAAGCACGGCGGTGGGAGTATCATGGTTTGGGGCTGTGGGGAGCTGCAGCGGAACATAATGGCAGCCACACAAAATATTGACACTTTGGGAAAGTTTTGGCCATTTTCACTTAGGGATGCACTCACTTTTGTTGCCAGCGATTTGGACATATATGGCTGTCCATGCAAGCCGTATGCTGACTGCTTTATGTTGTGTCAAAGTGTCACATCTTCTGTGTGTACTCATTTTTGCAAGATGCTGCGATTGAATAAAAGAGCTACGTTTGGTCAGGAGTCAGGGAGGAGCAGGGAGAAAGCATCTTCAGGGTAGTGCCAGGCATGGACCGGTTCAAGGCATGGACCAGTTTTCAAAAGTTGACAATTCAACTTTGAAAAATTAAATAAATAAATAAAATGTTCACCATACCATTTCTAGGGAAACTGTGTAAGTGACTGGAGTTTTTTCTGGCTGTATGGATCATACAATCATGAAGTACTGACACTCCCTCACCTGTTGCTGCGCCGTGCTAATCAGCTAGCTTAACAGGAGACGACTACACGGCAAAACCAAACAGGTGTACATCCATACAATAGCCTGAAAAAATATAGAGGTTGTCAATTTGATAGCTTTAGTTCATGTATCATGTCAAAATAACAATATATAAAATGTTTAATAGCAGTTTTATAACTGTGATAACGAACAAGATGTATTATTTTAGAAGCACTTTGTGGTGTACATTTTGCTCTACTAGCAAAAATATCTAGATTGTGATCTACACAGCTCCTAGAAAAGCTATTCACCTCCTCAGTTGCTTTACATATCAATCATGATCAACAAAATTAGGTGGTTTTGCCAAAACAAATTACAAAGGAAAACCTTTTATGTCAAAGTAAAAACAGATTTCTATAAAGTAATGACAACTGAATGAAAATATGTAACATAAAATAAGTGACTGACCTAATTCAACAGGTCAGTTGAATTAGGTCAGTCAAATGGTGCTAGTGGTGTCACAATGAGTGGAATGACTGCAATAAAATTGGTTTTCACTTTGATATTAAAGGGTTTGTATTATTATTATTATTATTATTATTATTGTTATTATTATTTTTAACTCAAAATAGCCAAACTTTTGTTGATCATGGTTGTTTTGTAAAAGGAGTAAAGCATCCAAGGAGGTGAATAAATTTCATAGGAACTGCATTTTGGTTCATATTTTTGCATAAGTAACATAAAATTGCTGGATTTCTTACATAAGTCCATGGCGCCCTTAGACCTCATACCGGCCCATGCCTCAGCAGAGCTAACATCTGTGGGGAAAGTGATTCACCTATGGAGTCTAAGATCTCACCTTTTCACACCCAACAATAAACTCACGGGACAGTATGGAAGAAAAGAAAACAGAAGAGTAAAGCAGGATAAATCAAATAAAAACAAATGTAGAAAAAACAAACAAAAAAGATGTAAATTTTTAGAAAAAATGAGCAAAGATGCCTGAGGATTTTTGAAAATATGAGGCCGACATAAAACACAGACAACAGACATCCAGCTGAAAGTTGGGGTGTCCTGATACAATTTTCCACTTCCAATACGATATCGATATCGCAGCTTTGAATATTGGCCAATACAGAGATTGAGCCAATACAAATCAGAAACGATTTTATTACTCAATTTTGCAGTGTGGAATGTTAGAAAAGGCTCATCAACTAGCCCTTTTTTGCAGGACAATTTTGTTTGTTTATAATTCATTTTATTTGTTGTTTCTGTTGTTTTGTTTAATTAATTTTGGACGTTTTAAATGTCTTCCAGTTCCAGTATAAAATGTTCATTTGAATTTAACGTTTATTGATCTTTGAAAATGTGCTCTTGCATTATTATGCCATTACCATAATATTACTTGAAAATGGTCTCAAACAATATTATTGTGTATCACAATAACTTCTGGGGCAATTTATCATCTAGTAAAACTTGCTATGACAGGCCTTTAACTATAAAGCCCCATGTTGGGTCGGACTAAATGCCGGAGGAGAATTATGGAGCGGAGTGCTGCTATAGCGGTGCTTATATGGGAAATTTTAAATGCAGGCCCACATAATCCAATACTCTTTTTTTAATAATTGATATAAATATCGCATCGGGACACCCCCAGGTGAAAGTTCCATGAAATGCTGAGAAATCGGGATTCTGGAGAGAAACGCTCACCTGCTGTCTGTGTCCAAACCCACAAAATCCTTCTTTTCAAAAGGCACGCAGAGCAGCTGGATCTTGTCACCGGACTTATCTGTGGCCCGGTCCAGCCGCTTGGACTCCAGGACGATAAATATGGACTCCACAAAGTCCTCGACCCTCCGCTCCACGTCGGAGCACTCCTCGAAGCCCGGATAGAAGGCCACGTCGGTGCGCTGCTGCTCGGCGATCTCCCCCTGCAGGCCGAACACCAGCAGGCGCGAGTCGTACAGGGTGGAGCTGTACACCTCCTTCTGGCCGTGGAAGCGCTCGGCGGTCTGCGGCCAGTCCTTGGCCGAGTTGCACGTGGTGATGCAGATGAGGCCCACCACTTTGCGATGCGTCTGGAAGTCGCCCCACTCGTTGTTCTCGGGCAGGTAGTGGTGGCGGTAGCGAATGTAGAGGAGCCGCTGGGAGTCGCGGATGTTCACTTGGCTCACGCTGGCGATGCGCTTGTAGATCTTGAAGAACTGGTCCTCGGGCACGATGCCCACCGGCTGGACCACCACCAGCACCGTCTGGTGGTCCTCGGCACACTGCATGTAGTCTGGGACGCTCATCGTCAGACTGAGCTTCACCTGGGAGGAACAACAAAGCTCATTCGTTTTAAACAACCTAAACCTTAATCACTCATAACATGGCATGGACTCGGTTTGTAAAGATCATTCTCCTTCCTTATATCTTTTTTGTGGTTTCTCAAATTACAACTGTTTTAATTATATGTTTTTAGTCTAGTTTAGATTTGACAAGTGTCAGAGTTATGAGCTAAAGTTCAGAGTCTTTAAAAGTAATGAAAGAGTCCTATGCAGGTTTGCTGAACCAGAAGCTGCGCATCGCAGAAGGGAAGAAATCCCAGAGTTCCCTTTGATTATACACCTGCTGCTGTCTGTTTCTGTTTAAAAAGGTAACGTGACTGCTAAAAGTGACACCTGGAAACATACTGCGCCGGCCAAGGGCGATTAAAAATAATAACCAGGCACAGGATGTCATTTTGTAAGCTTTTGTATTATGTCAGCAAACAGCATCCATTCAGTAATATTCTGGTACCAATTACAAGACTCAACTAGCTTAGCTTAGCTGCTTAATAAAAGCAGACGCCGCAAACCGCTGTTAAAAAGCAACAATACGGAAGAAAGAAAAGCAGGACATGTATGCGAATATAAGTCTGGCCACATGCATCGCTTTAAATTAGTAATATTATTTATTAACTGATATTACCTCAGCTGTTTGTCAAAATTTTACAGCTTCCGTCTTCTAGCCACGGTTTACTAACATCCGGTGAAGCAGTAGCGAAACATCCGGGAATATTTTCAGACTAAAAGCCTCAAACACGGTCGAAGGTTTTGTCAGTGGCACAAAGGCTTTTATATTTCTTTTTTGTGTGTGTATATCGGGCATAAATTCATTATATCAAAAAGGGACAACGGACACCAGGAACATGGCTGATGCTTCTTTTGTGGGATATGTGTAAAAAATACGGTCTGAGTTCTGTTCGTTTTAAAACAATTGATTTGATCAAATGCAATGCCTATTGCACGTTTCATTTATTACTTTGCTTTTTATAGTGTAAAACACTTTGAATTGCCTTGTTGCTGAAATCTGATATACAAATAATGAAAAGTCTAGGATCAGTTGGATTCAAAAGTTTCACCTTTTGAGCTGAATTAGATTTTATGTTCTCGTTCGAGATGAACCTGTGTTCTATACTTAGTTGCATTTGTTCTCAGAAATTATTTCATAATGCATTTTTAATCTTAGTCAATATCCTTGAATACACAATAGGTTTTGATGACTTCCTTCAGAGTTATCAAGATTTGAAATAGTACAAAGTTTACATTTGGATCCAGTTTTTTGGTGTAATGTTATAAAACCACTGAATGAAAACAGTAAAACTACAAAAGTTTTCCCTTACAAGCCGATTAAAAATGAAAATCAGATGTAGCATTCTCCTTTCAGTTAGAAACATCCAACCAAAACTGCACATTTAAATAAATCAAAATCCCATATAATCAAACAATCCAAACAGATTGATTTAACTCTTTTATTTTAATGCATAAATCACTTCTCACAATCTTCTTGGAAGACAACCGCTTTTAAGTCTGTATTTTCTTCATTTTTTCGTTTTGGCCAAGAGGAATTGGTCCAAAAAGCAACGCAGGAGCTCAGAATGGAATGTCTAAAGAATGATTCATAGTGAGTATACATCAATAACAGGCAAACATCTACAAAACAATACACAATCATTGTGAGAGGAAATCACAAGGGACAGCTTAACAGATGCAATGAAGGCAGGGGGTGCAAACATCTTGAAGAAATCCTACAAAACATGCTTTTTTTTTTATTTCAACCAAGTGATTCATGGAATGAATGCAACACCACCAATGGAATGTGGTAAATGTTCCCAAAGTTTGATAAGACTGAGTTATGATAACCAAAATGTAAACCTTCAGTATGAAATACTCCCTTCTTGTTATTGATTGGCATCTTTTGCCCAGTCAGTAATATGCAGCACCTACAGAAACCAGGAAGGTGACAGATGGAAGGAGAAGAGGGCAAGTCAATGCTAACACTGCAGACATGATCCGCGTTAGAGAACTGGTTTATTGGCACTAAGAGAGAAAGCCAGATGCAAACTTTAAGCAAACATTTGAGATGTCAAACCAGAGGCCGTCCTTTAAAAGTCGAACCTTTGGATCTGGTTAAGAAACCGAGTCAGAAAAACTGTGATTTACCGTTTTTGGTTGGTTGAGGAGTTGCGTTAGTCAATGGTCTGTGTTACGAGTATGATGTATTAACATGGATGTGGGTGAAGATGATTGGTCCAAAAACTGGTACATTTTTAAAAGTACAAAAGGAGTACTTGTAATTATACAGACTCAAGAATGCTGCAAATTCCATATTTGTCTTGATGGATTAGTATTGGAATTCAAGCTAAATTGACTCCATCAATTCTTAACAAATCAAAATCATTTTTCTTATAATACCTTGTAGTCCTTTCACTTCTAACCATCTAAGCTTCAGTACTTACAAAGACTTCTGAGTGCAAACATGATTGTGTTTTAATTACAGATGGAATAGATAGTTTCTCATTTGATTGTTGTCATCCAGTGGATTGGATTCATTAGTCTACCCGATTACTGCACACTGATTCCTTTGGAGTTCCTTCATAATAGTAGTCTAACATATATAAAAATCTGAAAACAACAAAAAAGGAAATTGGATTAAGACCAACTTTGCAGTTAAGGGGGAATGTGTGACTTCTGATTGGTTGGATTGGAGATATTTGGCATTCTTCGTTATGGCATAAAAAGTGGGCAGACAGCATTAGTGATGGACAGTGACGTACTGGAGGTCCTCCAACATGATGTGGGGAGGAAGGGGAAGTGGTTGGAGGTGATGGAGGTTTAGAAGGGCGGAGCGGGTCGACGTCCCACTGTCCTCATGCCAGTTTCAGAAACTGTTCCACTGTATCGGCTTCCACTGCCTCTGAAAACATCTCGTAGTTCTGTGGAGGAGAGAAGAAAGGATCTCAAAAAGGCAAATCAGAAACGTGAACAGTAAAACACTGGCCATGTTTAAAGCCTGAGGCAACTGCCAGAGATACAGGTATATGTATCATGTACAGGTTTTTATACTGATGTGTGCTTTCCTCACCCCACAGTACTGGTCTTCATTGAAGAACTGGGGAGGGGCCGCAGTGGGGTCCCCTGCTTTGCTTCTCATTTCGTCCCGGAGTTCGCCACCCACGGAGATGTCGATGAGCTCGTACCGGATGCTTTTACTTTCCAGGACCCGGATGACCTCCGCTTGTTGAGACTTGACCTGGAAAACAAAAAAACATGAGCTTTAGTCAGAAGCACCGCCACGCAGCACCATCTGGCACCCACCCGCCTTCAGTAAGGAAGAATGGAGACTTCAAATACGATGCAGTTCACAGGTCATCGGTTCAAACAAATAGTAAAAGTGATGTAAACAATACCCCAGATCTGGCTGAAAAAACTGCAACTTTTTCACCCTTAATGTCTAGAACGTTGTCAACAAAACCAGGGTAAACTAACCATTTTGCCAATTTTCAATTCTGAAACAAGCATTTAAATATCAAAGTGAACCGAGATGTCTCTCTCTTCTATCTAATAAGCTTCAGGGAACAGTCAACTAAAAGCACTGTCAACAATTTTCAAACATTGTTTGTTTGGTTCCTCTATGAACAGTCTGCTGTCACTCTGGGACACTAAGGAAGTTGGATGTTCGAAAATGTGACCACACCTCAAAAAGCGGAACAAACTGCAAAAAAGGTCAAGCTGCTGTGCGTTTTATTTAGAGTTACATCCTCATACCGGGGGATGATGGGGAAGAGAGAAGCAGAACGATTTGTCACTTTATCCAGGAAGTTCCAGAAAAAAAATCTGCTCTGGCTAATGAGTAAATCTAAATTGTTATTAGCTAAGCAAACTACTATTTTTTTTAAGGTTCTGGATATTATATTGGTATAGAAAAAGGAACAACTTCCAGAAACAGGACGGTTGGATAGATGCCTTAAAGCACAGGACAGGGTTAAAGAGTAATGAGCTCCTAATACATACCAGATGGCAGACAGTCTGAAAGCTGTACAGTGTTTTTTCATTTTTCAAAGTTGCTGCTGCATGTGAAAAGATTATAGCAGTAATGTTTAACGACGACCAATTTAATCGCACAAATCTCTTGTCATTAACAGTGACTACTGGCAAGGAATGAAAGCCAACATCCAGAAATTACAGCTGTTACTAACACAAAGCATTTTAATTCAATTATACTTTATTTATGCCAAAGGGAAATTTCTATGATCCAAGGATCCTCAAAGAGTTGTTGTGGAAAGTGATGCTGTAAGTAGGAAGCATCTCCACTAGCAGTCAGTCTTGCAACTATTCTGAAGAAACGTCTGGCTGAAGACTGTAGCTGTATGCAGTGTTTGACAAAACGTTTGAGCACAACGCTTGAGAAAAGACATAGCTTCAATAGGTCAGATTTTTATATTTGCTTTTTATGCATTTATGTTTATGTCAGTGTGACAGCCATGTTGTGAGTCGCACACTTTTAATAAAGTTTATTACAGCCTACTTATGGGTTTTATTTTGGTGCAACACCCCAAGATTATCACTGGTCCCCATTTAGCCCCCTTTAAAAACTTCCTGGACACACCCCTGCTCAGCAGTCTTATTAAAACTTGTCAGTGTGAAGTGTAATAATGATTGATTGTTGTTTGGCTAAATTAAGTCAAGCTGTTTTCACATCATCATGACCTATTTTATTTGCAGATACAGGTCTTAGCAATTTAAATTATTGACATGTCGAACACATTTAGTGCAAACACAAATGAAAGAATTTGCTTGTATATTGCTCTTCTGACAAAAATATAGAGGCAAGAATAAAATATAATATATATATATATATATATATATATATATATATATATATATTGCAACAAAAACTGCAGCTTAATTCGGCTACCGTAAAATTACAGGAAGTGCCAAGTGAATGATTTTATGACCAACTACACTAGCTTTAACTAGCTGGAACATACATATTGATAGTATTTTTGCTTTTTATGTAATCGGCAGTTCTTATTGCTTAATGCTGCTAAGCGTGTTTCACGTGTCATAATTTATAAGTACACATTATTTGGACAGAATCGTGTTACAGTCAAGTTGAACTTGACAGGGAACTTAAAGTGACTATTTTTTGAATGAGGTTTGGTGCAGAACTCAGCGTGCGGGACACGGATACATGTGCTCGCGCGTCAGTTATTTTGTCAAGTCACGCGAACCTGAATGACCGTGTTTCACAACCACTGTTTGAACAAAGTTTTGTGGTGAATAGTGAGCAAATACTGCTTGCTAATTTGTTGGGGAAGAAACAAACAGCCCAACCAAGCTCATGAATTCAGGTAGAAAAATAAAGACACCTGCCGCTCGTATTGCCATTATAATTAGGTGTGAAGGAACAATAAGAGTGCCGATACGATACATAAAGCTGACATTAAATGAATGATGCAAAAAGCGTTTAAGCGCATAGGCCCGCTGCACTGTTAGTCAGGAGGAAGCTATTACAGATAGGGTGCTGGGTGTGTCCGTTAGACTGAACCATTGTTAGCAGCTCCCATCAGAGCTCAATACTCACATTCAGCAGTAAACGGGTAAATTTCAGTGTGTCTGACTTACCGTCCGCGAGGCGGTAACGGTGGTATAGTACACTTTGACGGTCATCGCTGCAGGTTCTGAGTGACACTTTCTTTATGCGTCCGCTGCTTGCAAATAGCTTGCACTCGCTCGCGTCAAG